ATCATTGATGGGGATTTAGGTTGATTCCATGTCTTTGCTATGGTGACTTAGTGCTGCAGTGAACATATGTGTGCAAATGTCTTCATAACAGAATGATTTATATTCCTTTAGGTATATACCCAGTAATGGGATTGCTAGGTCAAATGGCATTTCTGTGTTTAGGTCTTTGAGGAATGACCACACTGTCTTCCACAATGCTTGGACTAATTTACACTCCCACCAACAGCATATAAATGTTCCTTTTTCTCCACAATCTCGCCAGTATCTTTTATTTTTTGACTTTTTAATACTAGTTATTCTGACTGGTGTGTGATGGTATCTTGTTGTGTTTTGATCATTTCTCTAATGATTAATGATGTTGAGATTTTTTTTATGTGCTTGTTGACCGCATGTATATCTTCTTTTGAGACCTATCTGTTCATGTCCTTTGCCCAATTTTTTATGGGGTTGTTTTTTTCTTGTAAATTTGTTTAAGTTCCTTGTGATGCTAGGTATTAGACCTTTGTAAAATGCATAGTGTGCAAAATTGTTCTCCCATTCTGTAGGTTGTTTATTTACTCTGTTGATAGTTTCTTTTCCTAATAAATTTTTATCTTTTAACTTTTATATTACATTTAAAGTAATCTGTGCATCCCCATTACAATGTTACGTCAATATGTATTTGTCAATATATTTACCTTTTCCAGTGAGATTTATTATTATACATGTATTTGCATTGCTGTTTAGCGTATTTTCTTTTCAATTTGGAGAATTCCCTTAAGCATTTCTTGTACAACAGATATAGCGTTGACAAATTCCCTCAGTTTTTGTTTGCTTGGGAAATATTTTCTCTCTCATTTTAAAGTATAATTTTTCCAGGTATAGTATTATTGGTTGAAAAAGTTTGCTTCTTTAGTGCTTTGACTATATCATTTCACACTCTGCTGTGACATACATCTTTCAGCTGAGAAATTCACTAATAGTTTTATGAGGTCACTTTATATATGATGGGTCACTTTTCTTTTGCTGCTTTCAGAATTCTCTTTGTTTTTCACCTTGGCAATTTAATTTGATCTTAAAGTGTCTTATTGTAGTCCTCTTTGGGTTGATCCTGTTTGGGAAATCTTAGAGTTCCATGAACCTGGATGTCCATTTCCCTTTCCAGATTTGGCAAGTTTTCAGCTGTTATTTTTTTTTAAATAAGCTCTCTACTTCTCTTTTATTTTTCTTCTCTTTCTGGAACTTCCATAATGTATATATTGATTTGCTTGATAGTGTCCCATAAATTCTATAGACTTTCTTTTTTTCATTCTTTTTTCTTTTTTCTCTTCTAGATAATTTCAAATGACCTGTCTTCAACATGACAGATGTTTCTCTAGTTTGTTGAACTTCTTTAAAACAATTACTTTGGGTTATTTGACAGGCAATTTGTAGATCTCCATTTCTGTGGGTCCAGTTACTAGAAAATTTTTGTATTCGTTTTGGTGATAAAAAGTTTTCATGATTTTTTTTCTATGTTCTTTGTGCCGTTTTGTTTGCATTTGCACATTTGAAGAGTCATCTCTTCTAGGGTTTACAGACTGGCTTTGGTGGGGGGGAACCATTACTTGCAGGTAGGTATGAGAGTGTGGATGGCTAGAGTGTGGCAGCTTTGTTTAAAGGGGAAGTATAGTAGCATAGACTGAAGGCATCTTATCAGCTTTAGGTCCACATCAGCAAAGACTGCAGTGATCCCTGGCAACCAAGGTTACAGGTGCCTTCATGATTAGGTCCTCTGTGGTGAAGGCTGCTAGCATTCTCTTCTCTCCTTTTTCCTCATGGGGAGAATTTGTGGTTGAGAAGATCCCTCTTTATACTAGGGTACAATCTAGTTTTCACATTGCTACTAGAGTAGTCTCTTAAAAAACTAAATCTGGTATGTCATCTCTCTACCTTAAAACCTTCCAGTGGTCACTCACTTCTCTTAATTGCAACATCCAAAATCCTTAAATTGACTAGCAAGGTGCAAAATGACTTGGCCTCTGCCCTCTTCATTTTCATTCTTCTTTGCAGCCAAACTGGCTTTTTTTTTTCACTTATTCTAGTTCATACACCAGGGTCCTTTTTATTTCAGGCCTTCTCATATGCTGTTTCCTCTACCCAACAGGAGGGAATTACAACCAATACTGTTGTAGCTGTTCTCAAAACTATACTTGAAATTTGCTATCACCTTTGGGTACTTTGGCTACTTTTTTGTTTGATGGGTAACACAAGCTTTTATCCCAGAGGAATCTGAACTTTTAGTTGCTTTGTTCTTCTCTGTCCTTGTTTGCTATCATTACCCCATTCACTATTACTACCATGCAGTAAAACACCATATATATAAGTACTCACCTATGTATCCTTGGGGTTTATCATATCAGTGAAAGATGACCTGACTTTTACCTGCCAGTATCTAAAATTTATTTGCTTATGGTCTTTCTTTGGCCTCTGGAGCCTGTTCTGTTTCTGGAAATGGCAGGCTGGAAATGATAGAGAATTAAGGCCCCTGAACGCAGCCTTCACTAATACCCATCACTTGTTCAGTTGGGTGGGATAATTCTGAAGTCTATGTTCTACATTATTTCCCAGAAGTTCTTCACAAGATTAAGCCCTAGTTGCATACCATGGCAACATGCTTAGCAACACATACTTTATCAGCTTTCACTATTCCCTTTCACACATCCTCAGTCCCCTGCTAGTGTTTTCTAGCATCGCCTCCAATGCCTTGTCTCAGGGTTATGAAGCAGGTTCACTATGCATTGGTTACTCTACCACTTGCACGGTTCCGATGAGAGAGAACACTCACACAATAAGTTAAGTGAAGGAATTTTATTACTCACAGATAGACAGCAAGGGCCAACAGTAGCCGAGAATTCATGGTGAGCCAGTCCCCCAAAGCTGAGGAAGGCCATCCAGGGTGCACGGAGTCTTACCTACATGTCTCCCATATCACACTGCAGCTGAGGGACTCCAAAAGGCACTCAGCTCTAGGTTTTATACTCGGGCAACTTGGCATGCTGGGCTAGTGCTGTAGTACATCCTGTTTTAGGAGGCTTGGCGACTGAGCCCAGGCTAGTCTGACCAGTTTCCCGTATCTCAGGATGTTGCATTTCCAGCACATTCTACAGTTATTCTTGAGCATTACAAGCAAGAAAGGGAAGATCTTTGTTGTCAAGGTCATCCAAGGACTTGTCCTGCAAGAGTTTGTTTATAGGGGAACCGGTATCAGACACAAGCAACGGCTCAGTTTCAGGTACAGGATACAGTGCTGTGCTTTATTTGCTTTGCAGATATTGCATTTTCTTTCCGTTTTTTCTTTTTGATTTCTGTTCTGTTTTTCATACTGAAGGTTTGTGGCAACCCTGCATTAAGCAAATCTATCAGCACCATTTTCCAACAATATGTGCTCACTTGTGTCTGTGTCACATTTTGACAATTTTTTGCAACATTTCAAACATTTTCATTAGTATTATATCTATTATAGTGATCTGTGATCAGTGAGCTTTGAGATTATTATAGCAACATGTGATTTTTCCAGATAGCCAAGCTTTTTAGTATAATCTTATTTCCTTCAGTTGGGATACAGAAGCGGGTGACTTTCACATCTGAAGTGCCATGTTTCTTGACTTTTAATCCAGACAAAGAAAGCTCCCTTAGCAGAGCTCCATTCCTACAGCTTCTGCTTGTAAATTGGCTTGGAGAAGCCCTTGAGGCATAAATTAGAGCAATACTTTAGCATTGTTTCACAGATCTTCCTAAAAGCAGCAAGGACAAACAACACTAACCAACATACTGAGATATTACAATGAGTTTTCCTAGAACTTCAGGCTCAAAAAGCACACTGTCTACCTTCAAAGTTATCCCAGGAGGCAGTTCAGTCAAGCATTTCTGTAAAACATCAGAAAGATCATCGCCTTCTTAGCCTGTAATATCTGTGTCCTCTCCTAACAATAAAGCAAGTGCCACATATTTTAGGTTTTAGTTATAGTAGCACCCTACATCCAGGAACAAATTTCTATACTTGTTAGGGTTTATTCTAAGATATCGTAACAAAGACATTCCAAAATACAGTAACTTAAATGAGATAGGGGCAGGTGGTCCAGGGTTAACAGTACAGCTCTGCCATCTTCCATACATGGCTTCAAAGGTTGTACCTGCCTTTGCCATTTCTCAGGTAGAGGAAAGACAAACATCTTTAAGGTGATGTCTCAGAATTTGTATACGCAACTTCCCTTCACAGCACGTTGGTCAAAATTAGTCACTTAGCCACACAACCTATCTAACAAGGAGCAAAAGAAAATGTTCTGTAACCGAGTCTGCTCTGTTACTAAAATGAAGAATATAATGAAAACTAGATATAGTATTTATTATAAAGAATGTGCTTACTAGAGCTGGCTTAGATCTTAAATGATTTTCCAGTTTTAATCTCCATGAAACTTGACTTTACTTCCTGGGAAGCCTGGCCTATAGGGTTAGAGTTACATTTTCCTTTTTTCCATGTGTTTTTTGTGATATACTAGCTATTACTTAGGCTAAGAAGTAAAGTGTTTCTTCTAAAAATAAAAAGCCCACATTAAGTTACTATTTTTGATTATCCAGTAACCAAACAATATTAAGTGCCTTCCATATGTAAAATGTGGTGCTGAAAAGATAGAAAAGATACAATCTTTCTCTCCTTTGTGTCATTTGCATACCTCTTATGAAATAGCATATTCATAAATATGTTTAAAGTGATTTAATATTGTCAACTTATTCTGCAAAAAAAGAAAAAAGGAAATGAGAGTCTAAATGAAAGGGCTTTACTTATTATCAATTATCAATTATCAATTTACTTATTACAATTAGTTACATAAAAATTAAAGTCAGGAATTCTAGGCTGTGCTAATATTGGGTATCTAGTATACTTTTAAATAAAATTTTATACTCCTAATTAATGTTATAAATATAGAAACAATATATAGTTTGTTTCATTAATATTATACATTTCAATTTTTATACAGTATAAGAAATTGCTTAGTTTTGATGGTGCTCATTTAGGAATTTTTGAAAGATTTATATCTGGATCATTGGCTGGTGTAACTGCCCAGACCTGTATTTACCCCATGGAGGTATGTATTATAAAATTTTAACTAAAATCATACTTTTAATGCAAATTATAACTTTTTATAAATGAATCTCAGTTAAGTACACTAAGCAGCTTTAGAGCTATAGGATTAAAATCATATCAAGACTCAGTTGGTGGCTGGGCACGGTGGCTCATGCCATAACCCCAGCACTTTGGGAGGCCAAGGTGGGCGGATCACTTAAGGTCAGGAGTTCGAGACCAGGGCAATATGGTGAAACTCCATCTCTACTAAAAATACAAAAATTAGCTGGGTATGGTGGTGCACACGTATAATCCCAGTACTTGGGAGGCTGAGGCAGCAGATTCAGTTGAACCCAGGAGGCAGAGATTGTTGCAGTGAGCTGAGATCATACCACTGCACTCCAGCCTAGGTGACAGAGTGAGACTCCATCTCAAAAAAAAAAAAAAAAGTCAGTTGTTGTTGCTTAGGACAAAGGTATTATTGTATATGAACCAACAATTTTGTTGATTGATTGAGTGATAAAATCACTTATTTATTCATTGGATAAATTTTTATTGTATACCTACTAAGTTTAAGGTATTTTACTAGGAGCTATGCAGGAGCCAGAGAAGAGTCATACAGGGATTTTTGGCTATGTAGCATGTAGTCTAGAGAGGGAAATTAAACATGCACATCAATAATAATAATCTAAAGTAAAAATTATAAATTATGAAAAGAGTTCAATATAAAGTGCTATGGAAATTGAGAAGGGGAGAAATCATTTCAAGCTAGGGATTTCATGAAAGACATGAATAGAAGCTGGGTGCGGTGGCTTATGCCTATAATCCCAGCACTTTGTGAGGCTCAGGCAGGTGGACTGTGTGAGCCCAGGAGTTTGAGACCAGCCTGGGAAACATGATGAAACCTCGTCTCTACAAAAAATACAAACATTAGCCAGGTGTGATAGAGTGTGCCTGTAGCACCAGCTACTCAGGAGGCTGAGGTGAGAGGATCACTCCTTTGTCAACGGGTGAAGGTTTCAGTGAAACATGATTGCACCATTGCACTCCAGCCTGTGCAACACAGCAAAAAAGACTAGAAAGATGGGAAGACCAGATGCAAGACATTACCAGCATTCAGGGAACTGATAATAAGAGTTCGAAGTATGATAGTGACTGGGGGAAATTAACTCATGATAGAGCTGTCTTGAGAACTGTCAACCTGAAAAGTGGAAAGTGGGAGAAAGGAAGAAGGTGAAGTTCTCTTTGGGTCCTGTGCCTGAGTGTTTAGGAAAGTTGCTCTGAGTTACGTCTCTGAAACAGAGAATGGAGGAAGTAAGCCAGACTCAGAGAGGTGATGAGCTCAGATTTACACATATTTAAATTGAGTTGTTGATGGGACAACCAACTTATGATTTTCAGTAGGCCACTGTAAATGTGATACTGAGACTTAAGACTTCAAGTGTTGGTGTGTCACCTGAGAGAGGTGTTATTTGAAGCCAGGGGATTGTCTATTAAAAAAGGAATGTTTAAAAAAATGCTGAGAAGAAGACTTTTGAGAAGATCTTAATGTAGGGAGTGAGAGGAGAAAAACATGCCAGTGAAGCACACAGAAAAGATTTACTTGGGTAAGAGGAGAATGCACTGCCTTGTAGAGGATAAAGTTTTAAAAATGAGACTATCTAAAGTGTCTAGGTCTGCAGAGAAGTCCATAAAACAAAAAGCTTTCTACTGACCACTCAGAGGCTGCCCCATCAAGATACACAGTTTTCTCAATCAAGACAAAGTTTATACTTAAAAAAATTCAATTTTTATTTTAGATACAAGGGGTACATGTCTTGGCTGTTTTAGAGAGCCATTTCTCCAAGCATGTATAAAGGACTTTTAAATGAATGGAAATTAAGATGACAAGGAGTGAGACTCTATCGGGAGAATTAAATTGTGAAAAGGATATTAATCATATTCATCCTACTGGGGCCTACTATTGTCCTTATAGCTTCTGGGATATCAATACTTTATGAGCACAGAATGAGCCCAAGTCATATAAAATTACAGTTTATGGGCCTCACTGTTAAAATAGTTACCAGAGTATGTACTTTAAGCATATATAGAATGTTTTATTCATACTGACTATTTTTAACATGATCATGTTTTACCTTGAATTCTGGCTTTCTTTATTCTGAAGCAATAATGAATTTATTTCAGAACATGTTGCCTTTCAGCACATTAAAGGAATTTGCATGGATATATCACTCAAAGGCCCCAGGATTGATTTTATTTTCCTGTTTGTATAATTACAAGCATCTCTGCACTGTATTAGTTGTTCATTAGTAAGAGGCAATTATCGAGAAGTTACAATCGTGTTTATGATTGCTTTATTATTTCTGTGATTTATAAACATCATGAGATAATGCAACTCCGTGGATTGCTAGATAAGATGGGTGAATCTGATCGATATATCTTTATTATATTCTTTCCCATTTAGGTATTAAAGACCAGACTGGCTATAGGTAAGACTGGAGAGTATTCAGGGATTATTGACTGTGGCAAGAAGCTTCTAAAACAAGAAGGTGTCAGATCCTTTTTCAAAGGTTATGCTCCTAACTTGCTAGGCATTGTACCTTATGCAGGTATAGATTTTGCTGTTTATGAGGTGAGTTTATTCTCATAATACGACATTATATGTTAGATTTGAAAATATGGCATAAGTTTTTATTGTAGAAATATGGTTATAAATGACTTTTCATTAAAGTAACTTCAGTCTAAGAGTGAATTAAATGGTTTTATTTGACTTTTCAACTTATATGTTACATATTTGGTATTCTAGTAATAAGTTTTTGTTTGGTGTTTTTTTCATGAATCAATTTTTGTTAACAATAATTTTAAGTTCTGATAAAATTTTGGTTCTAAATCCTGGATGCATATCAGAATCACCTACCTGTGGATCTTTAAAAAAATAGGATTATCGGGCCATATCCTGAGATATTCTCATTTAATTATCCCCAGGAGGCCAGGCGCAGTGGCTCATGCCTATGATTCTAGCACTTTGGGATGCTGAGGGGGTTGGATCCCTTGAGCCCAGGAGTTCGAGACCAGCCTTGGCAGGATAGTGAAACCCCATCTCAACCAAAAATACAAAAATTGGCCAGTCTTATAACTTGGTCTCAAAATAAGTGAATAAATAGATTTAAAAGGATATTAAAAATATCCTGAGGACAGGCCGAGGATTCAGATTTTTTAACTGCCCAGAAGAATCTGTTGTATAAGTAAGATTATGAAAGTTGAGATATTATCACACACTTGTAAAAATGAGAATGGAGGACAGGAGTAATTGTGGCTTAAGAAAGAAAGGCAGGATGAAGGTAGGACAAAAAGGCTGATAGTGTAACGCACAGGCAAGATGCCCACTTATTCCCCTTTCAGCTGATCATTTCATTTCCATGGTCATACATCTGTTTCAGGAAGAACATCTTAGCAATATACATACCATTTCATCATAAGAACCAGGTGAGAGTGTGTGATTAGAATAAATTCATTCTCAATGCAGGAAGAACAGTTCTCTAGATACAAGCCCAGTGGTATTTTTGGCAAGTAGTGTCACCATCATGTGAAAGACAGATAACTTACTTTAGCACTTTTAAAAGTACACTTATATTTTTGTAGATGTTTAGAGTATTGAATATTATAGCATGTGTTTATTTTCCTTTTTGTTTTCTTGTATCTATGATCTTATTACAATAAATTTGTTGCTGGTGTTTATGTTGGACTGTCTTCATTCTTTGATTTCTACAGGTCAGTATCTTCTTCTTTATACATTTGCCAGATGCCATTACATATTTCTCTTTGTATTGTTACATGACTGTAATAAGTGCATTCTGAGTAAAGACATTTCAAAATTTATTTTTTCAAAAGCATCCAAGTGTACATCATTGCAGTGAATAATGGTAAAGTTATAGTCCTTTAATAAATGTACAGTTCTGAAAGCACTTAGTGATATTTTAAACTCACTATTTCTTAATTTCTTCCAGTCACTTTTATTCAAGGAAGAGAAAATAGGGAAAGAGGGCTCTTAAAAAAGTTGAGAAAATATGATTTTGTTAACCTAGAGTAGATTGTGCAGTCTTCCTCTCTACAATGTTCTGGTAATCCCTGTGAGAATCTCCAGATTTTTATTTGAGTACAATCACAAACCAAAGAACGAGCAAAGGAAACCAAATAAACAAACAAACAGAAACACCAAAAAACAGATGAAAACATAGGGGAACTCAAAAACTGAGGTTGTATGTTGGTTTGAAAACATCAGTGCACCCTGTTCCTGATAAGACTACAGGGATAACCCCTCCTTACTAAAACTTTATTCCATTTAGAGTGGCATAGCAGTTGCACAGTAATATATTTACTGCTGTCTTCTCTACCAGGTTTTGAAGAATTATTGGTTAGAAAATTATGCAGGAAACTCTGTGAATCCTGGGATAATGATTTTGTTGGGATGTAGTACGTTGTCTAATACTTGTGGTCAGTTAGCCAGTTTCCCTCTGAATCTTATTAGGACTCGCATGCAGGCCTCAGGTGAGTTGTTTTTTTTTTTTTTTTTTTTTTTTTTTTTAAATGAATAATATCTAAGTTTAAAATTATGTTTTAAATGAGTATAAATTAATTATTTCAAAAACAGAAAAACTCTAGAGTTGATAAACAAGAATCTTGAATTTATTACTTTACTGACTAAAACGTTTTGTGAATTTTAGATTTTATTTCATCTCAAAATCTTGTTTGGAACTCTCCACATTTTCTTCAGTTACTGATGATCTCTTTAAGGAGTTCACAATTAGAAAGTACCATGCAGAATAATGGAAAAGATTACGCTTTTTCAAGTTAACAGTTATTCCATATGAATGTGTAATTTTCCCCTCGTTCTGCTATTATGGTCGTATTCTGCAATTGGAACTTAATACATTTGTGGAATGGAACTCAATTTTTTTTTTCCAGGTGACTTAAGGAAGAGATGCTAAGAAAAGGGAGGATATCTGTTTTGTTTCTCTCAGTGAAATGTTAGGAATTTAGTTTTTAAGAAAATGTCTTTATCACTTTTCTAGGAGAAAAAAAAAAAACATACAATCCTATTGTTATCTTCTTGACTAAGCTGTTTAAGAATTATGTGTTAAGTGATATTCTTTTACATTCTCTTTCTTCTTGTCTTTTTAGTTAGATTTTTGATTTAATTTATATTCTCCAGGTGGAGAATCCATCCCATCACCCATCCTTTCCTCTCTTTATCTGTGTCAAATCCAATTTGAAATACTTCTTTGAGGCCCCTCGTGAAAGACTTTCAAGTGTTGTTCAATAGAAGTTTCTGTGATGATGGAAATATTTTGTATCTGTGCTGTCCAGTATGATAGCCACTATTCCCAAGTGAATATTGGGCATTTGGGATTGTTGCCAGTGCAACTAAGGCAATGACTTCTTAATTTTATTTAATTAAAGTTAAAAAAAAATAGCCACATGTGTCCAGTGGCAACCATATTGAACAGCACAAGACCTTCTACAGGTAGGGAAAGAGGTATATTCTGAAGTAATTTCAGTCTCTGTAAATTCTCATTTTTCTTTGGATTATCTTAATTTATAAATATTAAATATTGAATTATACTTTTTTTTCCAATTTATAGCTCTAGTGGAAAAAGGAAAAATAACTTCTATGATTCAGCTCATTCAAGAAATATATACCAAGGAAGGAAAACTGGGATTTTACAGGGGTTTCACCCCAAACATCATAAAGGTGCTTCCTGCAGTAGGCATTGGCTGTGTGGCTTATGAAAACGTGAAGCCACTTTTTGGATTAACCTAGAAGTGAAATATCAAATTGTTGTCATTGCCATAGTCACTTAATTGTAAGTAATACCTGGATTATAAAGAGATGTTATCTTTTTCTAAGAGGAAAGAAATATCAAATAATTGTTAAAATATGTTTTCTTTATCTATTATAAAATAAATTAAATAATTTTTATAAAGTTCTTTAATAATTTAAAATCTTTAATATCCAGAGAATACTATTTATATTTTCTACTACTCTTCCTTGAATCCTAACTGAAAATTTGTTCTTGATTTGATTTGAATACCCCATAGAGTAACATACAACATTTGGTCAGTTATAGGAGTCTATCTTTGAAAACGTTTTTATATTTGAAAACTTTTTTAAAAAAGATGAGCTTGAAAATATTTTATACACTAAAAGAAAAATCAGCGCATTTAAGATTGATGTTATAATAAATAATTTGGAGTCTGTTTATTTTATTTAAGCAAAATGGAAAATTGGTTTCTAATTCCTTCTATCACATTTTAGATGGAATAATGATAACATCTTTCTTACTTCTCTGGGCCTTCTTATTTGTAAATGTAAATACTGTTGGATCATTTTGATTCTTAATATTTAAACTTATATAAGGAAGTTGGCATTGATAACAAATCCCAACACTGGACAAATTTTTATTTATCTTCTGGTTGAAAACATTTGAGAGGAAGAATTTTAAATATTAAATCCATTATCTCATAGTTGTTGAAGCAATTCTTATTCCAACTTAAGAGTTGATTTAGTCAACCCTTTGATACCCTAAATATCTTCTCTTCACTTTTATAAAAAACATTATATTCCTTCCTGGGATTAAATAAACATGTGGAGAGACAGTGGTAATGGGCTGATTGGACACTAACAGGCCACAAATGAAGGACAACTAGCTCAACTGACTAAAGTCCATCCTTTGACTTTTAGCGTTGATGGTCCAAAAATTTTATCTTATGAATTTCCTTAAAATGATCAGCTTCTTGGTGCTAGATTAACAAAAATTGCTCATAGGATTGAGATATAGATCACAAAGCAGAGTCATTAATTTATAGTGGTGCTTAATACTTTCCATTAACCAGAATACTTTTGTCCCTTCTCCAAGGCACATTGTTTCCTAGTGTCAAGCTACCTTGGACACCTAATATGTAATAAGAAAACTAATGTGGAATTAGAACAAAGAGAAGAAGATACTGTTGAGGAATATTTTACTCAGGCCTATCCCAATTAAGGTGGGAAGAGTTGAGAACCTTGCATGCAAGGGGAGAGGAGCTGAGACCTAAAGTAGGAGAGTGAAAAGAATTTTGAAACTTGAGCTAAATTAAGCCAGATACCAACAGAAGAGAGAAAGGCAAATCTCATGTTAACCCTGAGAATGAATGTGTAAGAAATTTGAGTAATGGTGGTAGTTGTAACAGAGAGACTTTTTTTTTTTTTTTGAGACAGAGTCTTGCTGTGTTGCCCAGGCTGGCATGATCTCGGTTTACTGCAACCTCTGCCTCCTGCGTTCAAGCAATTCTCCTGCCTCAGCCTTCTGAGTAGCTGGGACTACAGGCATGTGCCACCAAGCCCTGGTAATTTTTGTGTTTTTAGTAGAGATGGGGTTTCACCATGTTGCCAGGATGGTCTAGATTTCTTGACCTCGTGATCTGCCCACGTTGGCCTCCCAAAGTGCTGGGGTTACAGGTGTGAGCCACCGTGCCCATCCAGATAGACTTTTTAAAAGCATTCCAAGTTGATGAAACAACTTGAACAGTAACATGAAAATAGAGTTCATGGAGCACTGGGAAGATTGCAAGTAACCTGGTCATTTGAAAATATATAGTATATAGGAAGATATAGTGACATGAGGCTACTGCTATAGGTTGGCAATAGGGGCCTTGGATTATATGTGCTAATAACATTCTCTAGTGTAAGAAGATAACTTTGAAAATAGAATGAAACCAGTTTCTGCTTTCTGCACATGGCTAGCCAGCTTTCCCAACACCATTTATTGAACAGGGAATCCTTTCCCCATTGCTTGTTTTTGTCTGGTTTGTCAAAGATCAGATGGTTG